AGGCACAGCCCTTGGTTAATAATGTACATTCCATCCTGTGCAGCCACAGCACTTCTTGTCAGAATCCTTTGTGACAAATATGACTGTGACCTTGTCCCAGTACAAAATCTCAGTTCCTCTGGCACTTAAGAGCACCTTTTCCAAGTGCCCAGATGGATTCACTGGCAGTCTCCAGACACAGCTCAAACGAGAGGCTCTAAGGGAGCATGCCTGGAGCCCTTCTATGGCTAGAGCAGTCACCACAAGCTAGTAGCTACTTTAACAATTTTCCAAAGCAAAGCCACCTCAGCCTGGCTCTGGAATTGTTGGGGCTTTGATGGCACTGTGTCTGCAGTGGACCAGAGCAGTACCACCGAAATGCCTGGCTTGGCTCAGGCATGCCCTTGGCCCACCGTGTTAGGGATATAGAGGACAGCCGTGCAGGCAGGATGGTGGTCAGGCTGCGACCGTCCCTTAAGCATAAAGCAACCGTTCCATCTCTCTCTTGGATTTTAAAAAAAGATTTCATTTATTTGTTTCTAGACAGAAGAGAATGGAGGGAGCAAAACATCAATGTGTGGTTGCCTCTTGTGTTCCCCCAACCAGGGACCTGGCCGGCAACCCAGGCATGTGCCCTGACTGCAAATCAATCCAGCGACTCTTCGGCTCACAGGCCAGCACTCAATCTACTGAGCCACACCAGCCAGGGCTCTTCCTTGGATTTTTAAAGAGTTCATGGAATCTGCAAACTGGATTACCTTGTCAGGAAATGGTATTTGGACTAAAAAAAAAAAATGTAAACATGTTATGGAATGAGATGCTTCTCTGTGCTTGTGTTTTCTCATCCATAAAATGGGAATAATAAGGGCTCTCACCTCACAGGATCGTCATGGGGACTGAATGAGCTATTTTCTGTAACACATACAGACCAGTGAGGCAGCTGATGCTGCTACTTAGTAGTATTACTATTGTTAAGATTTTATCCAATCTATCCATTCCTTTAGATTGGTGTTTCCCAGGTATTTATTCACATAGCACTATCCTAAACTTGCTGTTTTCACTATTGTCATTTATTATTTTTCTTTAAGCTAAATCACTTTCTACTTATATTTATTTTGAAAGGGAATTACATACCACCATGGCAAATGTAAAATAGAATTCTCTGCTATATCTGGAAAGCAAATGTAAAAATAAATACAATGAAAACAAGTAGTTGATTAAACTTAAGTCTTTGCCTGCCAAAGGCGCTGATCCTGAGCTTTCCTGTCTTTTTTTTTTTAAATGATGTCAGCTTCATCTCTCTCTTTTTTTTTTTAAGATTTTATTTATTTATTTTTAGGGAGGGAAGGGAGGGAGGGAGGGAGGGAGAGAGAGAGAGAGAGAGAGAGAGAGAAACATCAATGTGCGGTTGCTGGGGGTTATGGCCTGCAACCCAGGAATATACCCTGGCTGGGAATCGAACCTGGGACACTTTGGTTCCCAGCCCGCGCTCAATCCACTGAGCTATGCCAGCCAGGGCTATTTCCTCTGTCTTTACTGAAAAGAAAGAACAGAGCGTGTAGAGGCACAGTGACAACTCAGAGATGTATTCCTCTGGGTAATTGTAAGCAATGACACCGCTGAAAAGCACGTGGCCTTCTCCCTGCAGAATTTGTACTGAATGTCCAAGCTCCGTCTTCCTGAAACCGCACAAGCACACGTAAGGCCATCTGGTTTCCCACCACTCTGTGAGACTATTCCAGAGTGTGGCCATTCAGTGAACTTTTTGCGAGGACGGAAGTGTTCTAGATCTGCACTGTCGGTGCAGCAGCCGCATGCCGCATGCCGCGCTCGAGCGCTTGAAATGTGGCTAGTGTGCCTGAGGAACTGAATTTGTAATATCATTCCATTTTAATTAGTTGAAATTTAAACTGCCATGTGTGGCTATTGGCTGTCATACTAGGCAGCAAAGATTTACTGAGGAAACTACACATGCTGACCCTTTCTTTCATCTTGGCTCTTCAAGTGAACTTATGTTCATTTTCAGGTGATACCCTTGCTTCCCTTGAGGGAGATCTTATAAAACCGGACAGGGACTTGTCATGGGGATATAACTGGGGACTGCCTACAATATCCTTCATTATTGTTTAACCTAAAGCCAGGCGTGGAGTTTTCTTTTAAACCTCCCTTTGAGGAAATTATTACTTTCTTCTCATTAGCAATGGGATTATTCAAAATAGTCACATGTCCATTTTCACACTAGCTGTCAGAACATTAATAGGAAATTCAAATATCAATGAGAGCAACTGTGTGGAATTTCATGAGAGCTATATATGATTTCCACTGCTTCCTTAATGGAAATTCTCTTAGTTTATATTTTCTCTGACTCTACTATTTCTTACTTCTATTTTATTGTTCTTTTCTATGAGTTTCTCTAGAAATTATTTTTATAGAATTATACAGAATGCATTTTTAATGAAGAAAAATAATGTCTAATGCTACCAGTATTTTGAGTAAGTCACCTTTTATCCAATATCATTTATGATTTAAAAAAGAAAAAGAAACAAGAAGAAAACATTGTAACAAAGCTTTTCTAAGATGCTTCAAAACTCATGCTCAGATTTTGCTCTTGAGGCACCAAGCAGAAGAAGCATCATCAGCTAAAAGGAGAAAAACAATTGCATTCAAGAGGCGCTGCTTCACACATCTCAACATCAAGAAAGATTTCTGAGAGCTCAGGCCTCAGGCTGAAGATGCGCTGAGAGATTCGGGTACTGCCAGGCCTGTGGCCGGGTGAAATGGGGGCCATGTCCTCTGAGCACTGGAACGTCCTGAGAACAGTGGACGGGGACAGAGTGGCTGGAACACCACTGTGACTGTGTGGACACACCGTCCCAGGCAGGGGAATATTTTCTCTGCCCGTCTCATTTCATAACAGACTTTCAGAAGCTCCAGCCTGCCAAGTCACGTCCAGGGGTAAAGGCTGGGCAAAAGAGTCCTAATGCAGGTGAAGGAAACCTCTCAAATGATATCACATTTTCACTGCACTGTTAAAAAAAAGAAAAAAGAAAAGCCATCTGCTTCACTTTTCTCATCCTCAGCTTTGTGATGACTGCAAAGCAGAACTTGAAGGGCATTCAAATAAGGGAAAGTTTGTTTGTTGTTTGGAGTGTGGTATAAAAAGAGAAAGAAAGACAAGATATTCAGATATCCGTCATATCTAATTCTCTTTTTTAAGAACTGATAGCAATATAGAGTAAGTAAGATAAAATGACCTTCTAGTGCAAGCTTCGTTGCCAAAATCATCTGCCCATAAGATTTTAGGTAACATATGTGTGTCATACTTATGCTCATTCCTTGATAACACATGTCCACCACCAGACCTGCCACCGGAGTCCAAACACAGCAATCATTTTGGAAGACAAGGAAAAAATGCCAAGTGACTATTTGGCACTATATTCTAATGCTGATTCGTTTTCCAAGGTAAGCATTACTATTATTTGCATTTTACATATGAGATAGCTAAGATTTACTTAAGGCCACAAAATTGAAACAAGGGCTTTTATTTTTAAGTCCAAAGTCATTTTTTCACCATCCCAGTGTCTGGGGAAAATATGTTAATAGCTGAGGAGGCTTCTTCAATGAGTCAATTCTCCACTAAGAGAAATGGTAACAAAATTCAAGGGTTGTTTTTTTTTGCCCTGGACAGGTGGCTCAGTTGGCTGGAGCATCCTCCTCTGCACCAAAATGTTGCAGGTTTGAGTATCAGTCAGGGCAAATATCTAGCTTGTGGGTTTGATCCCCAGTCAGGGCACATACAGGAGGCAACCAATCAATGTTTGTCTCTCACATCGATGTTTTTCTCTCTGTCTCTCTCTCCATCTCTCTGTCTCTCTCTCTCTGTCCCTGTCTCTCCCTTCCTCTCACTTTCTCTCTCAACAACAAGTATATCCTCAGGTGAAAATTAACAAAACTCATGGCTTTTTGCAGAACTTATGGGAAATAAAAACAAAACCTAATGAAAACTGTTGTGATACAAAAAGATAGTAGAACTGGAAGCAGCTATGAGTCAGAGTTGAAAACAAAACAGTCCCAGGACAAGTGAACACCAACAGCTGGAAATCAGGATCCAAGGCAAAAAAGGAAAAGAGGAAAGACAAACCGAAGATCAGTAGGCAGGGCTGGAAGAGGCACCACAAAATCAGAGAAAAGATGGAAAACTGGGGTCCCAGTTGTTGAGACAAAAGCACCTCCATACCAGACAAAGGTCCCATACTCCCAGACACTCATTCCACCCAGGGGGTGGCCATCTCTACCCTAAGGAGGTAAAGGAGATGTTTGCAGTTTTCGCTTGTCAGCTACTTGATGCTCCTTCTTTGGGAAGAGTAACCCAGTTTACATTTGGGGAACCACATCTCCCCTCTCTCAGACGCAGGGTCAAATAAGGTCTACTCCAACCCAGTGCACATAGTGGTCATATGATTCAAACCTGGCCAATCACAGAAATCTATCACCCAATCCCAAGCTGTAGAGATGGGTTTGAGATATAAGACAGACCCATAAGAAATGCTGGGGACTTGGCTGAAATCACCCTGATGGGCTCAGAGTCTGGCGATGCTGGAAGCTATCTCATCAACCCATGGAAGCCAGCCTGAAAAGGATGCCTCAGCAGAAGAAACAGGAGATGGCAGCAGATCCCTGAACACAGGGCTAGTCATTTTGGAGGCCAGATTTGTGCCTGGACTTTTCCAGGGCAAATGGAAGCCAACAAATCCCATTTCTGCTCAAGCAGTCTGAACCGAGGGGTCATGGCCTGACTAAGAGGACTAACTGGCGTGAGAAGCTCTGCCCTGCTCCCTGAAGTCCAGTGAAGGACCCTTCCTCAGGGGAGGAATGCAGCTGGAATGCTGCTGTTTGCAGGCTGTGGCTTCTAAGGGCAGCACCGGCATTCCACTACCAGGAGGAAAAAAAAACCCACAGCATGGCACACAAGGGTCTGTTCTCCCCTGGCAGGGAGGCCCACTGGAAAACCAGGTGCTTACCTGGTACACATGGAATGCATTCGCTGCTTTGCCCCGGAGAAACACGGATGGGATCCAGACATTGATCAGCGCCCGGTTGGATCTGACCAGAGGGAAAATCAAAATTGGTCATTTCAATTTACAGAAAAGGGGAGGCTATCTCTTCCTCTAAGAGGAATTATGCACAAACAATTTATGACATCTCTAACATGTAACAGTGAAGGGCCAGAGTAAGTCTCATTACTTGATCCCACAAATTACTTTTAAAGGACTTAGATATATGTGTGTGTGTATTTTTAAATTTGTCTATGGAGTTTATATTCTGGAATGAGAAAGAGCTGCCCTCCAGTTCTCAGCAACCATGGCTCACAATTTATATGAACCTCAGTTTGCGCATCTGAAGAAGGGGATAATAACCAGTAGCCTCTGTGAGGCTGGGAGGGTCATGTGTGGGAATGCCCATAGGGTCTCTGGAGCACCCACAGGGGCCTCCTCACTGTGCTCACATTAGCCTGGGCCCCCCGTTGTGAGGTGAGACTCCATGAAAGACCTCAGGAGACCAACGGCCATGGATATGAGAGTGACAGCTGCTGGGGTGGAGGCACCAAGAGGACAAGATAGGATGCCGGGAAGCCAGGCGCAAGGAGCCCTCTTTCAACTTGTCCACGAACAAAAACTTTGTGTAAGGCTCAAATAAAATAAGATTTAAATTCAAATACAAAATCCTTTACCAAGTACCTAACAACTTACGGCTCCATGCTTTTGTATATATTATCTCAGTTAACCCTCACCAGCTATTTAAGGAACTTTCAAGGGTTATTTTGGTTCTGTGACAGGTTTGCCTTCTGTGAAGACTTTAAACTGAACTTATGAGTCACTGGGTGTACACACCCACCACCGCCGCCACACTTCCACCAGGCTGGATCCGGCTCAGGAGGAGCTGATAGTTTAACTGAAGGAGCTGAAACTTCAAGATCAATCGTAACAGCTATCAAAACAGTACTGTGCAATTCTGGAAGAGCTGGAAGGTTCCAGCTCTTGCCTCTGCTTAGAGCTGTTCCAGGGCTTAACACTTAACACTTTTCCCTAAGTTCTCGTTCTCTCTAAAGAGCAGCTCATAAAAATTCGCCAGCTTCCTGTGCTTGGAACCTGAGATGTTGATCATGGAAGATTCCATGACTCAATATGTCTCACAATCTTTAGAATAAAAAGCATTTTATTTCCACAAAGAAATAGTCCTCTCCTGAAGCAGCATTTCTCCTGAGCTCTCAGCTGAGGTGCTGACCTCCTTCATTGGGCAAAATAGGCCCTATTGATCACTTCCCTGGGCTGCAAATACAAATTGCAATTCTGAGCCACCCAATTGGTTTATCTAATGACAGTCTTCTGTAAAGGTCCCCGGAATTATACAAGTGCCTAAAGTGCTCCCCTGTCAAGGTATGGGGGGTGGTGCAGAAGTGTAACTCACACTCTGGTTTTCATTAACCTTTCTGGATTGCTAAGGGCTGGACAACCTCCCAGGGCTACTGCAAGGTGACCTCAACTAGGTTAAACGTTTCTCCCTTTCAAAGCATTTGCCACACTGTATTAGAACCAATTCTTTTCATAGCCATCTGCCTCCTAGATATTTACACATTCTTTTGTTTGTTCACTCATGCATTAAACAAGAATTTATTGAGAACCTACCATGTGCCATGTGCCAGGTACTATTTAGGTACTAGAGATAAACCCGTGAAGAAAGCAGATACAGTCCCAGCCCTCATGGAGTGTGCACTATAATGAGGGAGAGACAAATCCCCATTAAAATATTCCACTGTGGTTGTAGAAGACACTTTGTATGACTTCCGCCTTAACGAGATTTGTTTTGTGGCCTAACCTATGATCTATCCTGGAGAATATTCCACATTCACTTGAGAAGAAGGCTGCTGTTTGGTGGGCTGCTCTATGTGTTTGTTAGACCTAACTGCTCCACAGTATTATTCAAATCTTCTATTTTCTTATTAGTCCCTCTAGTGATTCTTTCCATCATTGAAAATGAGGTGTTGAAGTCTTCAACTATTACCATAAAACTATTTTCCTTTCATTTCTGTCCATTTTTTACATGATATATTTTGAGGCTCTATTGCTAGGTGCATATATGTTTATAGTTGTCACACAGAAGTTATTTAATTTATCATTGTGGTAGGTGCTACCAAGGAACACCAGCTCTGAGAAGAGTGAACACCATGGGGTCCTGCTTCTTTCAGGAAGCAGTGCTTGGGCAGGGCTTCAGGGACGCTGAGAGGGAGCCAAGCTGGGGAGCAGAGGATGAGTCGGGAATGGTGCTTCCAGTAAGGGCGTTAGCATTTGTGAAGGGCACAGAGTCTACATCAAGACTGCCTGGGCCTGAATCCTGGCCCAAACCTATCGTCTGCAGACAATATCGATGTCACAGGGTTGTTGCAGGGAATGAGTTAGAACCATGCCTAGTGTAGAGAAAATGCTACAGCAGTGTGGGCTACGAAAATAATGATCCTGAGAGGAAAGACCAAGTGAGTTAGAGATGTTGAGTCAGCCAGGGTGGCTGGTGTGTAGGGAGAGGACAGGAGAGGGTTGGGGAAGAAACCAGACGTCAGCAAGGGCCTTCATGGCAAGCTACAAGGAAGATCTGGGTCTCCGTCCTGAGACGGAGAAATAACACATCCCTCTGGCATTAGTGGAGATAAGCAAACAAGTGGGAGGAGGCTGCAAATTTCTGGGTGAGAGATGATGTGACTGGACGGGCAGAGGCTGCTTGAGGGCAGGGACCATGGCTTATTCATCCCCTCCATCAAGGACCTGACATGACACTGGCCTGCAGTAGGTGCGTGATAAATTCTTACTTTAATAATGAGTCCCTTCTGGTCACAGCTGACATGTCTCTGGGATTCTCCTGTATAGCTTTCATCTGTCTTCTCAGCTTGTCCCCACCCTGGCCCTCTACCAGGCCACCATTCCATTATCCTCTTCATGTTGAACTCACCTCACTCATGGACCCATGGGAGGCCAACTCACCTTTGATTTTCCTCCTTCACCTTTACCCACATTGACCTCCTCATCCTACCAACCTAACTGCCGCCTCTACCTCCACTGCAGCCACCCCAGCACTGAGAGGCCTCCTGATGTCCTCCCTGGTTACTCTAAGCTCACTCTAGTCACCCCCATGACCCTACAAGACTGGCATTATGACCTTCATCTTATGAGTGTGGAAACTCAAGCCCAGTGAGATTAACTGGCTTGCCCAAGGTCACAGTAATGTGAGGCCTGTAGCTAAGATTTCAACAGGCCAGCCTAACTCTGACACAAGGCTCTGTCCCATACCCTGCCCTCTATCTCCAGAGGTGGGCTTTTCCCAGATGACACCTTTTTTCAGGAGGCTGAACCTTTTTCCACTCCATGCAAGTGAATGAGAGAGGCAGGGATACTGCCTTGTCTTAATCCAGGACCCCCTCCACTTTTTTTTTTTACCAGCCCAGTGGAATTACCTGTATGAAAACCAAGACAACCTGATCAGAAATGGTCAGTCTAAAGACCAACTAAATCCCTTAGGGGTCATCAGCAGAGGCAGAAGGAAGAATTAAATCCAATAAAAAATTAGACCAATGTGCTGAACTACCATTGTTTCCAATAACCAACTGGGGTTGTAAACTCAGATCATTACAGGAGACATACAGACAATGAAATGAGTGGTGGGATAAAGTCAGACAATAGGGAGAGGTGGGGGCTGCGGTTAGGTAAGGAGCACTTGCACTGTGAGAAGGAGGCAGCTGCTGCTCAGCTCTGACTGTGGCCTTGTAGGGATCTGAGTCTTCTTTTAAAGAAAATAGAGAAATTTAAATTTCTTGTGATATCTTCCAACTCTTAAATGTCAGCCAAAAAAAAAAAAAAAACCCGTGTTTTTCAATACTGAAGGGGAAACATAAAACACCTCTGAAGGCCAGACTTGCCCAGCAGGAGAACAGCTTCCCTCCTTTACAATAACCAAACCAGCCTGTGCAGACTTAAACAGTGATTTCTGTTCCCTGGGTGGGCCTTCTGGGACTCAAGCCAAACTGCAGAGTCCTATTTCTAAAGGACCCTTCATAAGCAGACTCTGTGGACTTACATTTCAAAATCTGACAAACTCTGGTCTTCGGATGTTTGACTCAAATCTCCAGGCACCTACCATTAGGAGAGGGAAAAGAGAGAGAGAAAACACATCATGGTTACCACAGTTTGCATAATCATAAAAGAATCCTGCCTCTCAGTGAACCCTGAACACTTCCTGTTCAGATAGATGTGAAAAAGCAGTTGTTAGAAAACAGTGAGAGATTCTGTGGAAGGAAGGTTAGAGACGGTGTTGCAGGAATAAAACTATGCCATCATGAGAGATCTCAATTATCTTTATAGAAAAAGGTGCTGTTAATCCTATTGAGATAATCACAGGTATGTAAAAGGCATGTAATTTTGGAGCTGTAAAGGCCTAGTTAAAATCTGAGATGCAAGACATCAAACGAACAGCAGAAAAAATATCCATTGTCACCAAGATGAACATCACACACACAGGCACACACCCAAGGCATAAATATAAACAGCCCATGCCTTCCCCTCAATGGCTCCATTCTACCCCCTCCTAACATGTAAGTACTTCAAGGCACAAGGACATGGTTCCTCTCCTGACTCAGAAGGGCTGCACGAGAACATGACTGAGTGAAAGAAATTAAACTGCTTGGAGCGGTGGCACCTATTACATAAAGCAGACAGCAAAATGGCCAGCACACGCTGATGCTCGATAAATGGTGATGACATGATCACACCCAGAGAATACATTTCCTTTTTTGAGCTGATCAAATCTGAAATGCCTGGAACTTAAGAATGTGGATCAAACCTAAGAAGAACCAAGTGGGACAGAGAAGGACGCAGGGTAGTGAGGGGAAGGGAACTGTTGCTTCACACTTTGTACCTGTCAGCAATTTCAGATTATCACAATCTTCATCAGTCCGGATGACAACACCAGGGGTGGGTATCACCCCCATCGCCCTTACAGATGAGAGTGAGGTTCAGGGAGGCTGTAAAAGCTGCCCACAGACACACATGTAGGAAGTGGATGTGAGTCCAGGTCTGTCCAATTTCAAAGGTTTTTCTGCTACAAACCCTCCCAGACAGAGGAAAAGCCAGCTGAAATGGGAAAGGAGAAAGTGAGACTTTTAGCCAAAAGTTCTGCCCTTACAGTGGTTCAGAAGACACAAGAAGGTACCCCTTAAAGAAACAGTGGGTTCCCTTTAGAGGCAGGAGAGTCCAGTGACCATGGAGCCTGCACTGTGGGGGCACATGGCTCAGGATCAAATCCGAGCTCCACTTCTTCCCGACTGTACGGTCATGGGCAAATCACTTGATTTCTCTGTGTCTCACTGACCTCGTCTATAAAATGGGTGTGGCAGCAGTAATAGTCACAGGTTATTCTGAGGGCAAAGTGAGTCAATACCTGTAGAGCATGCAAGACAGTGCCTGGCAGTTAGAAAGGATTCAATAACTGACCTGTGCACCATAATAATGAGATAATAGTTATTGAGAAGTAAGAGCAGTATGTCATGTTATCCTTGGCACTAGACACGAATCTGTCCTGCCAGCCCAAGGGGTCTCTCTCACCTCATCTGTGGCAGCCCAGAGGCAGAATGACCCAACCTGCACCCTCTACAGATGCATGGAGCTAAGTGATTAAACTGGGCTCCAGGCAGCAGATTTTGCTAAGAATCTGCTTTTGAGAGACTCCTTCAAACCCACAAGGAGGAAACCTGCCCAGCCACTTAAAAAAAAACTTTATTTTCAAATGATTAGGAACTTCTGGGCTGGGGCAGGGGTCCATGTGGCCTTGCTGTTAAGGTGACTGTCATTTTGTGTGGGTGGCTGGGAGGAGAGATGGTATAATCCACTAGGAAAGCTGTGAGGCTGTGTGTACCAAGATCCTTCAATCCAGAATCTCACTCTCAAGAATTTATCGAGAAGAAACAACCAAAGGCACCAACATTTACACCAAAGATCATTCTCTTTCCACTGCTCAGGCAAGTAAAAAGCAAACAGCCCAGAGGTCCAACTACAGAGGGATGATTCAAGAAAATGGCATGTCTAAATAAGATAGCCAAGTTACAACTGGGGTGCACACACACTCATGAGAGTGCAAGCATAGAAATCATTCTGCAAAGGCATACAAGGAAATAGTAACAGTGGCTATCATCGATAACACATTAAAGGTGGGATTAGGAGAATAAAGACTTATTTTTAATTTGCTATCTTTCTATAAGATAAAAAAAAGAATAACTTTTGAAATGCTTTTTAAAAAATGAAATGTGCTTTTGAAGAGTAAGATAGCATTCCATGTGCTGTTTTGAAAAGAGCTCCAAGGCAGATCACTAAGTGAAAGCAAAAGCCTGTGTAGTGGGTGGCTCTAATACACTATCCTGGCTGCAAACATGAAGAACTAAGAACATCGAAGTTGTATTTGTTTGTCCTGCATTAAGAAGCTATAGCAGTTAAAATCAAGATGCCAATGAAAGGGGCAGCCTGTGGGCCCTGGGGGCGAGGGCCCCAGCAGCTGGTGCATGGTGTTGGGAGTGAGGCTATATATTGAACATCCTTTTATATTATTTGAATTTTTAAATAATGCACTACCACCCCAAAATTTAAATGAAAGTATATATTCCCACCAAAAGAGTGCTTTTGATCAATTTTTAATGTCATAGAAAAAAGCTCCCGGTCTCTGTTTAATAAAAAGCTGCTACAGACTGCAACCACTCTGTGTGATTCCAAACATAACACACAATGCATGTGAATCAACAAAGAATGAAACAGATCCAAAAGGTGACAGGGGGAGCTCTCTGAGAGAGCGGTCAGATGAATCTGGATTATGCATTTGAACAATGAGAATGCATTAACTGTGTAACCACAACAGATGCACACTATGTATTAAGTATGCATCATATCGCTACATAAAGTAAATAATACATTTTTCCAACTCTTTCCCCTACCAATGCATTTGGTTAGAATGCAGAAAGCCAGACGGGAGAGACTTTGTCTTCAAAAGCTCTTACGCATCAGGGAAGGAAAAGGGCAAAGGAAGGCCCTGAAGGCACACCACCTTCTAGACACTAGCTCCTTGAAGGAGTGGGAACCTGGGGGAAAAGGCCAGGACTCTAGAGTCTTCTCTGGCAGGCCATAGGGTGGCTTTCAGCCTCTTGTCTCCTCTGAGCTTCCCCTTCCACACCTGCATCCATCCTGGCAGGATAAGAGGATCAGATGCAGTAAACAGATCAGAGAAGGGACCATAAAGACACCAGCTGCACCATATGCCCATAATCACCTGGAAATGCGGCCTTATTTCAGACTGGAAGTGAACCAAGCTCATATCCAGGAAATCCCCATCATGAGAAGGAAGCTTCTGACTGTGTCTAACCCATGATGCAGAAGGGGAAGGTGACCAGAAGGACAAAAGCAGAAGACAAAGTATTTTTTAAGGACAGACATCACCTTACAATGAGAACAAAGAGCCTCTTCAAAAATGATTACTTCTAAGAAGAAGGCATTTTCCTGACAGATCAACCTTTCCTCAAGATGCTGATTCTTAGGGAACCTTTAGACAGTGGATATAAGTATCTGAGAGTTGTTAAATCCTTCCAACTTTGAAGCTTTTCTTCTAGCTGTGTGGTATTAATGGGATTGGCAAGCCAGGAGACATTTGTGTGTCTACAAGAGCTCTGGAGATGCTGGATGGAAAAAAACCCTGTGAACTTTCTGACCTTGTGGAATGTATATGGAAAATCAGGTCAGGCTCAACTGCATGATGATAATTGATGGCCAAATTCACTAAACATCTGAAAATTTTGTCTTTTCTTGCTATCTGCACAGACTGGTGCTAGATATCACCTGGGGTTCACAGTAATCATCCAGGAAACTGGTCTTACTTCACACCTGGCAGTAAAAGAAGTGTGGGGCAGAGAGCATTTTATCAGAAAAATCAATGTTCTGTTGATATTGGCCACAAACATCCCTTGTGAGCTCCTGAAGCCCCAGGAAATCTGGAGGACACAGCTCTGGGATGTAGTCCTCTCTTTGATTCACCTTCCACACAGGGCATCAGCAAGTGATTGACAGCATGGTTGTCTTCATTCACTTCTACTTGACCCACAGGGCAGGCAGCTCTCCATCTGGCCTGCGGCCTGGGAAGTCATGTGGCAGAATGTGGGTGCCGGAAAAGGCAGAGCCCCTTACTGGAGAAATAGGGTGCCAGGAAGCCTGGATCCTCCTGAAGCAAACAGCCCAGGTGCTGCGCACACAAGGACTGGAGGGACAGACAAGACCCACAAAGGATTAGCATCTGGGCTGCATCACAAAGAAGCTCCCACAAACTGTCCTCACAAGAGCAGCCACCTCACAATGCCAGCGTGGAGCTCCGACACTGGGCCATCCTGACACTCCGATCTGGAATTCCTCAAACCTGGGAAGAGGGTTTAAATACTTGAGGTCCTGCCACAAAGAATGACCAATGTTCTAAATAAATGTTTATTTAAAGAGGAAGAGTTGGGGGAAAGAATGAAAGGAAGAAGAAAAGAAGAAAAGGTAGGGAGGCACGGGAAGGAAGGAGGGAAAGACAGAAAGAATCAGCTACTTGCTGATTCTGCCATTTGGAGCAGGTTGGGGGGGAAACTAATCCCCCTCCCATTGGCAGATCAGGGCCCAGGCAGGTGTGGCAAAGGAGGACAGGGCACCCTCCCCTTCCTTGGAGATGCCTGCATTCCAGTCCTGAGAAGTGTACAGACACATCAAAACCACCATCACCAAAGGCCTCCTGCTTTACACAGTGCTTTCATAGGACAACCTTCTCACATCCTCCTCCACACAGCCCTGGGGAAGCGGCATCACCCCCGTTTCACAGGTGAGGACAAGAGTGATGAGTATGAATAAACAGGTAGCAAAGATGTTATAAGCCCCACCCAGATCTCCCAGCACATGGTCCCTTACAGCATCAGCCTCAGTGACTCCAGGAAGAGAAGCACACAATCCCATCTGATATACCAGAGGACAGCCAGGACTGCCTGCTCATGAATGAGCGCCACCTTGGGTACCCAGCTCAGGTAGGCCCCAGGTGACTGTAGCCCCAGCTGACATGTTCTGATGTGGCATAACCA